AAAGCTAACCTAACTAATAAAATTTGACAAATAATAGTCCAACATCATAATGAACATGTTCATATTTCATAAATTTCTCAGCTGTCAACTGACAGCAATCCTCTAATATCAGGAAACATACATCCTATCCTTACTGACATAGCTAAATAACATGTCCCTACTCTACCATCAAAAACTAGCTATTAAACTCTCTTGGCTCTTCACTAGCCAAGTCCATGTGTCCTCTAGAGCCGGCCACACCGTGCTCAAACAAACATTAAAGTTATATCATCAGACTGAACTTTCAGTCATCCGGGAGCGTACTACGGAACTATCAAGCTCACATCCGTGTATTAACCACTCCCCATCAATGTCAACCTTGACATGTTAAGGAACACACCTAACGTTTATTACATGTATCTAAAAATAAAAAATTCCTATACTATATCACAGGTTTCAGCTGACTGTACAGCCAAGTGTTCTCACTCACTAGAAGTGTCAATGTTTATATTGGTCCGCCTCTCCTGTGTTCAAACATTCTGAAAAAAATAGCACAACATAATTTTCCATAACCGTTTGTTCTGGGCTGAGACAATTACACAGGGGCTTCGATTTTGATTACTGACCAATTTATAGAGTAAAATTTTCATATATTATACCAGAATTATTTTAAATCTGTTTTTCAACATTTAAAAAGTATTGATTCTAAATCTGTTTTTCAACATTTAAACAAAAGTGTCCAGATGTTCTTCACACAGATGTTCAGAGCCACTTTGTTGTTTATCAATTGTTCATATTGAGTAATCGAAAAAAAAATCGATGCTGCTGGATGCTGAATGTAGTCGCTGACGATGACGGTGTCGATCTTGCTTCTTCTCATGTGTAGACATCAATACCTGGTCCTCTTGTACTCCCATCCGGTACTCCTGAATGACGACAGAGTGTAGTAGAGCGGAGTGCCAAGTGACAGCTGTAGAATACTGTTACTTCGGCCATTAATCTTGCTCTCGACAGTCCACACGCCTTCGTATCAATCACAGTTCACACGGTAGTCTTGATGTTAAACTTGTCGCAGATGACCACCAACAGCAACAGCCTAGTTTGTTACAACCACCACCACCAACACTCTCCCTCACCACCACCAACACTCTCCCTCACCACCACCAACACTCTCCCTCACCACCACCAACACTCTCCCTCACCACCACCAACACTCTCCCTCACCACCACCAACACTCTCCCTCACCACCACCAACACTCTCCCTCACCACCACCAACACTCTCCCTCACCACCACCACTCTCCCTCACCACCACTCTCCCTCACCACCACTCTCCCTCACCACCACCACTCTCCCTCACCACCACCACCACTCTCCCTCACCACCACCACCACTCTCCCTCACCACCACCACCACTCTCCCTCACCACCACCACCACTCTCCCTCACCACCACCACCACCATCATTCTCCCTCACTACCACCACCATCACTCTCCCTCACCACCACCACCACTCTCCCTCACCACCACCAACACTCTCCCTCACCACCACCAACACTCTCCCTCACCACCACCAACACTCTCCCTCACCACCACCAACACTCCCTCACCACCAACACTCTCCCTCACCACCACCACCACTCTCCCTCACCACCACCACCACTCTCCCTCACCACCACCCTCCCTCACCACCACCAACACTCTCCCTCACCACCACCAACACTCTCCCTCACCACCACCACCACTCTCCCTCACCACCACCACCACTCTCCCTCACCACCACCACCACTCTCCCTCACCACCACCACCACTCTCCCTCACCACCACCAACACTCTCCCTCACCACCACCAACACTCTCCCTCACTACCACTACCACCAACACTCTCCCTCACTACCACTACCACCAACACTCTCCCTCACCACTACCACCACCACCAACACTCTCCCTCACCACTACCACCACCACCAACACTCTCCCTCACCACCACCACCAACACACTCCCTCACTGCTTCTATCCCTCCCTGCCTCTCCCCCTCAATGCCTCCCTCCATCAATCATTGCCTCCCATCCCTTCCTCAATACCTTCGAGGTTGGTGACCTGTTGCCATGTGAGGGCTCGCCGATACCAGAACAAACCCAATATCGACCTACGGTTATATCGACTGCCAAACCGGTATATAAGGCGCCAGTTACTGGTCGATGGAGCCGGCAGATCGGTAAATAAGAGGCCGTTAAATCGAGATACTATTCTTTTCAGTTTTCTCACCTCAATTTACGTGTTACGTCGTTCATTTTGGTATAAAATTGTTTGCAATAAAATTCTCTAACGGAATATATGAGAATTATAAAAGTATTGTCCTTTCGTCAAAATGCAGGTTTATCTGCTGGCAGTTTACCCTTTGCTTGTAGCCGAAGATCTTTTGATGCACCACGTTGCAATCTGAGAGTACCACAGATGTATACACCTTGTTCAAGCAGCTTTTGACCAAATTGAACCGAGTTATAGTAGTTATCCACATATAGATGTAACCGTTGTTCTTCGGTGTTTCACTCAAGTCCATAACCATTTGAATTGTTGTCTTTCCAATTCCTGCATATACTTCAACATCATAGATGTAACCAGTATGTGATTCAGCTAGCATGTACAGCTTTACTCCATATTTATCAGGTTTATTTTGATTATAAACCTCTTGCTTTGTGCAAGTTTGAAGGTTGTTCGTTACACTTGCATGGGTGATGATCATCTGTTCTGCCCCCGTCATGCTGTGCGTTGGGTCGGTGACACCTACAACCCGGATTAGTGCGGGTCTTGTACCCAGCTTGTCATCCACATTACCCATTCTTCTTTGGAAGACCTTAGGGTCTAGCAGGGGCTGCTAGATTTTGGTTGTTGCAATGGATTGTTGCAAAATCCATGGTTGAATTTTGTTGTTGCAATGCGTCCGGTTTGTTGCCTGCTCAGATGCCCCATAGCTGCTCTGTTTTGGTTTTTAGAGACCCGGAATTAGGGGTGTTGGTTGCTTCAGCCTTGGCTTTGCCTACTCCCCCAATTCCTTCCTCGGTGGGCGGGGTTTGCTCGGCTCCTACCCCCGTTCCCGGCTCCCAAATGTCTAAGGGTTTCGGAGTCGGGGCAGGGTTTAGCTTGGGCCAAGACTTGGGTGGCTTTGGGGGCTGCCCCGTTCAATGCGGGTATGGAGGCAGTCGAGTCCGATCACCCTGCCGAGGCTTCTGGGTCCTCCCAGCACACCCCCTTCTTTGAGCCTTTTCCCTTGGACTCCGCCTTGTTTTTCAGGGCGGTGGGCGTAGATGTGGGTTCTGCCCCTACGCGTATGTCGGGGGTTTCCGAGGCACTGGGGTAGTCGGCTTGGGGCTCTTGGGCCCCGTTTGACCCTGCCTGGTTTTTGGTGCCTTCAGGGTGTCGGTAGTTGTTGCAGGGTTCGGGGCTTTTGTATTCCCCTTCCATGTACGAATTTAATTTGGGGGCAACTCCCCCTGGGTACATTTCCAGGTTCCTTTGGGTTCTTCGGAGTCATCTTTCCGGAGGTTTTCTGCCTCTCGGATTTCCCCTGCGGATGTTCAGGATGCTCTTGGTGCCTACCTCCTGCATGACCTGGAATTCTCCTCTATTATGGACCCCGGTCTCTTTAGAGTTTGGTTCCTTTTCCCCATTCTGGGTGCATTATGAGGTTCCTGGGTTTTCCTGGCTTGTAGACTGCAAGCCAGTCTGTTAGCTTCAGGGAGCTGAAGGTGGCATTTGATGCTACCTGTGTACCACCCATTCTGCCTTGGTGGGTGCTTTGTTGGTTGTTCCTTTTTCCTTGGTCCCCTGTTCCAGAATTTGTATTTTATTGGGTTGTCCAGAATGTCATTAAAGCTAGCCGGTCTGCAGTCTACCCCTCAGACCCACGATGTTAGGAAGTTTGCAGCCTTGTTTGCTGTTTTCTTTAGCATGTCACTGGCTGCTTTTTGGGCTCTAGAAATTCTTTGGATCCTTACAATCCTTGTAGTTGCTGCTCTTCCCCTCCTCCTCCTCCTCCTCCCACTTGAGTCTGATGTATTCTTCTCTGTGGACAGTTTCCTTCAGCGAGCCACTTGAGCTCTTGCAGAAAATGAACATTGAATGTAATAAAATGCCTCTTTCTAGGGAAGCCCCAGTGTCTCCTTGAATTCCACCTCCCCCCCCCCCCCTTCCTCCCTACCAGGTTTGTCGGTTCATAGTATATCAGCTCTGGAGTGATTTGGGGCTGGCTGGTTGCCAGCTATTTGCCAACCAGCTTGTTTCAAGTTAACCAACTGCCTTGAATGAATCCTTTGCAGAGTCATCTTGAGATCTTGAGGTTATCTTGAGTTGATTTCGGGGCTTTAGTGTCCCCGCGGCCCGGTCCTCGACCAGGCCTCCACCTCCAGGAAGCAGCTCGTGACAGCTGACTAACACCCAGGTACCTATTTTACTGCTAGGTAACAGAGCCATAGGGTGAAAGAAACTCTGCCCATTGTTTCTCGCCAGCGCCCGGGATCAACCCCGGACCACAGGATCACAAGTCCAGTGTGCTGTCCGCTCGACCGACCAGCTCCATTTGGCTTTTTCGGTACTTCATTTTCCAAGAACTTTTCAATTGTCTGTATTGCTTCACCAACTGTCTGGATACTTTCTCTGTATAGTTGATATAACAATCACCATCTTTCTGCACCTCTGTGAGAGATCTGGGTTTTGGTTCTGGTTGTCAGTAGGTCAAATAGGACTTCTATAGACCCAGTAGGGAAACACATCTCAGCAAGACAGCTTCTGGGTGCCACCAGAGCTCAACCAGTAATTGGCATTTCATTACATTCAATGCTTTTTTTCTTCATCTTATTAATATTTGGCTTATTGGCACATGTGGATAAGACTCTTTAGCTTGGTAAAGGTTTAGTGATGATAAATGCTCATAGTAATAGAATGCAGTAGAATGATTAGTTGTAAATTTATTGAAAGTAGAATGATAGTGTTTTATGTTTATTGACCATGTCATCATTGCAGAACGGGAAGATCGCTACGAGCGATGGTGCATGGCCGTGGAGCGCTGTATGGGCTGGGAGTTACCACGGGATAAACAGCCAGGACCAGGTAGTGCATAGACCTAATTTGGGTGTTGAGTGATGTTGACAGCCTCTAGCTAGCATGTGTAGCTTGCATGGAGGAAAGGCCTCTGCAAGTACAGAATGTAAATTTGTTTCCTATTTTAAATTTAGTTTTTATTGCTTTTAGTGATCATTTTGTTTTGTGGATATGGTAAAAAATTGAATTGATTGCTCTTTGTTGTAATAGTTATAGCTTTTGTGACACAAGCAAGATGTTAATTTAGTGGTTTATTATTTGATTAAGATTGTTTGTGTATTTTTTGCACTCTCACATGCCCATCCCACATTGTGGAAGCCAAGCCACAAAGTTAGAACATGTTCAACAAAAAATTCAAACATGAAGGAAGTTTAAATGAAATGCAGCAGGCACAATATGGTTAGTAAGTAAGGCATGTAGTGCAAGACCTCGGTTCCCTGTAGCCTCTGTTAGCTAAGTACGTGCAATTGTATCATCACACTAGTCAGATAATGGGTAAATGTCAGGGTTCGATAGCTAGAGCTTGTTCACCACAATCACAATTAGGCAAGTACATGCTCGCTATCACACACGCACAATGTATACATATTACAAAATTAAAAATGCTGGGATGTACTGAGCATATCTGTATAGTAATTGCATTAAGGTACATTTTATAAGGATGAAGACAGACTGCTCGAAAAGGAACAGTGGGATACAAATGAAAGCAGAACTCCAAATGGCCTAAGAGAAATAAGAATGTCTCAAATATTTGAGACATGCCTAAATGGTTTAAAATGTAAATACAGTACTGTGCCAGAAAGCCTAGGATATTATGGGAGAGTCACACCAGAAGATTGGTGGTTAAGAGGAGGGGCCATAGAGCTGGAGTATGATTCTTTCATATATATAGAGGATTTCTTGTTCATGCACAAAGATGTCAAGATTTAAAGGAATAGGAAGCCAGCTGGTGTAGGCAGACATTTACAGCTTCAGTGTATAAAAGTTTCAGGCACCTGTTCATCAGTCAACTGAATGGTTGAGAGGCAAAACCCAAGAGCTTAAGCTCTTGGGTCCTCACAAGTACAGCTTCATGAGTACATACAGGTATGATAGAGCACTCAAATGTAGTGAGAAATATGCAAAAAACACAATAGCTACTGAACTTAAGCATGGACTCAAAGGCTTATAAACATCAGTAATTGGAGCTGTAAAATAAAAAGCCACTTTACAAATTACCAAGAAATGCTCTGCTGAAGGTATGATGCAGTACTTTATAAAGTGTACCAGATGGTTGCAATGAAGTTAATAACACTATAAGATCAGGTGAAAGCCATTGAAATAACTAGAGAGAGGAAGTATGGACACTTACATTTGCAACATTTGATTTTATGAAATAAAGCATTATGACCAGTCCTAGAAGAATATACTTACCAGTCTGGATTATTTGCTTATCACTCAAAGAAAGCAAATTGGCTAATTGATACAAAATTGCAAATACTTTACTACTATATTAAATTGAAGGTGAAAACTGCTCCTTTAATTTAGGTGCTGTCATGCTGAAGAGTGTAACTGTCTAAGTACTAAGACTGTCAGTAAAGGAAAGCGAATAACATTCCTCAAAATACAATAACTTGTTAATAGCTCAACACTTTTGATTCAGTATCAAAATCATGTACAGTAAGAGTTTTAACCCCGGTAAACTTTTGGACAATAATGGAACTTAATAAAGTGTAATTTAGACATTACATAATTTGGGATAAATAAAGAAAAAAGTGATTCAGAAATATGCAAAGAAAATTCAGCCTCTGGAACTGGGGTTGGGTATCCCGCGCAGGTGGTCTGGGATCCCCCCCCCCCTTCTCCCTCCCGTGGAGGGGGGAGTTGCACAGACAGCGGTGCGGCGGCTGTGGTGACATCATGCTTGTTTGCTTGTTTTCCGATTGGAGAGTTCTGCCTGCTTGTTCGGCTTTCGCTTTGCAAAGTTTAGCCAGCTGTAATTTGTTTTGGGATGCTTACCTTTCTGGGTGTCTGACCTGGTAAATGGCAGACATAGACTGCTTCCAACTACAGGGAGCCGGTTGGCCGAGCGGACAGCACGCTGGACTTGTGATCCTGTGGTCCCGGGTTCGATCCTGGGCGCCGGCGAGAAACAATGGGCAGAGTTTCTTTCACCCTATGTCCCTGTTACCTAGCAGTAAAATAGGTACCTGGGTGTTAGTCAGCTGTCACGGGCTGCTTCCTGGGGGTGGAGGCCTGGTCGAGGACCGGGCTGCGGAGACACTAATGCCCCAAAATCATCTCAAGATAACCTCAAGATGGTGGTGTCTATAGGCCATTGCTCCTCGTGCCTCTCTGAGGGGAAGCAATCCCCCTCAGGGGGAGGGATTGCTCTGGTAGGCCTAGAACTCCATTGATTGACTGTTGCCATGGTCTAATATATACACATCAGCCTAGTATAGCTCCGGGCAGCCTCCAGGTCTCGCCCAGAAAATGTAGTTTCATTACATTCAATGCTGGGTTTTTATTACATTTTATGGCTAAAAATGAAAACCTTACTGCACCTTCAAAAACTTGTTACAGTATGCTCAAGAGTTTTGAAATAATTAATAAATAATACAAAATTGGCAGTGAATTTTGTATTAGATGGTGAGAATACATTGTCTGGTAACAACTTAAAATTCAAATGAGAGTAATTCTTTGCTTAAAATTTATGAAAAGTCTTCTCTATTAAACTCCGAATAATAGAACTAGTCGTCCATTTTCCATTAACACACAAGTTGCGCTCAGTACTTGATGTAAACTTTACATATATTTACATATAGGATAAATGATGTATAATTTGACTTACATATAAGACAGTGAAAATCTTTGACCAATGAATTATATTATTTTTTATAAGAGTATACTTGGTTAATGTATCACGTGGCTGTAGCAGCAAATTCATTCTTGGATCAATAGTTAGTGTTAACCCGTAGCTATACTGAGGCAGGGAATGTATGTTGGTACATTCTCTCATAATAGTAAGCATCCTTCAGTCTCGGGAGACTATGGAGTTGCGCTTTGGTTGTCTATCCTGGTGCAGCGTCTGGTGTGACTGATGAGGCCAGTCCGAGAACGGCAGTCCATTCCACACTGAGCACAAACGAAGTCTGATTCTGGTCTGTCTTCCTGGCTACCATCTATCCTTCTCTCTCTCTTTGCCTCTGATTTCTTGGCAAGTGACTCCTCGAACTTCGAGAGACCCCTCTGAACACACTGCCCCTAGGCTGAACGGTCTGCTGCCAGTTTTTCCCATGCCGCAAGATCGACGTCCATGGCTTTCAGGTCCCGCTTGTATATGTCTTTGTACCGTAGCTGGGGCTTGCCTGTTGGACGCTTTCCCTGCGTCAGCTCTCCATATAGAAGATCCTTGGGGATCCTGCCGTCGCCCATTTGCACCATGTGCCCGAGCCAGCACATTCGTATCTGCTTCAGCATTGTGTACATGCTGGTGATTCTAGCTATCCAGAGGATGCTGTTGTTTGTCACCTTGTCCTGCCAGGTGATGTCCAAGATGTGTCGGAGGCAGCGCATGTGGTAGGCGTTCAGCTGTCTTTCCTGACGGGCGCCGAGTGTCCAAGACTCACTGCCATATTGGAGAGTGCTCAAGACACAGGCTTTGTAAACCTGGATCTTTGTACACTCAGTCAGCTTATTGTTGGCCCACACACTGTCAGTCTGGACATGGTAGTAGATGCCTTACCGGTGCATTTGTTTAGCTCCGCATCAAGAGAGAGGGAGTCAGAGATTGTGGAGCCCAGGCACACAAAGTTGTGAACGACTTCCAGTTTGTAATCGAAGATCCCGATGTCAGGTGGGGAGTCTACACCTTGTCCCATGACCTGTGTTGTCTTCAGGCTGATGGTGAGTCCAAAAGCCTGACAGGCCTCGCTGAAGTGAGTCACAAGCCGTTGGAGGTCTTTGGCTGAGTGGGCGGTGACTGCTGCGTCATAAACAAAAAGAAAGTTGCACAGACACCTTAGCCAAACCTTTGACTTTGGTCTCAGCCTGGCGAGGTTAAAGAGCTTTCCATCCTACCTGGTCTGGAGCTATATGCCTTCCATGGCAGATCTGAAGGCGTGCTGCAGCATAACTGCGAAGAAAATCCCAAATAGGGTTGGAGCCAGTACGCAGCCCTACTTTACTCCACTTCTGATGTCAAAGGCATCTGATGTTAAGCCATCAAAGACCACGGTGCCCTTCATGTTCTTGTGGAAAGATCTGACGATGCTGAGGAGCCTGGGTGGGCATCCGATCTTGGGGAGGATCTTGAACAGGCCATCCCTGCTGACGAGGTCGAAGGCCTTCATCAGATCTATGAAAATTACAAAGAGTGGCTGCTTCTGTTCCCTGCATTTTTCCTGCAGTTGTCGAAGGAGAAGTCCATGTCAGTGGTGAACCTGTTAGCTCGGAATCCACACTGTGACTCTGGATACTCTCTCTCTGCAAGTACTTGGAGCCTCTTCAATGTAACACGAGCAAACAACTTTCCAACAATACTGAGGAGGGAGATGCCACGGTAATTGTTGCAGTCGCCCCTGTCACCTTTATTCTTATACAGCGTGACGATGTTGGCATCCCTCATGTCCTGTGGCACCTCTCCTTCTTCCCAGCAGAAGCAGAGGATTTCATGCAGCTCCATGAGCAGGTTACTTCTGCAGCACTTCAAGGTCTCAGCAGGAATGCCATCTTTTCCAGGAGCTGTGACAGAAGCAAGGGAGTCTAGGGCCTCGCCGAGTTCTTCGAGGGTCGGTTCGCTGTCGAGCTCCATTAACACAGGCAGACACTCAATGGCGCTCAGGGCGTGTTCGGTGACCACATTCTCCCTAGCATATAGCTCAGAGTAGTGCTCAACCCAGCGCTTCAGCTGCAGTGTCTGGTCCTGAATCACCTCGCATGTGGCAGATTTCAGGGGAGCGATCTTCTTCTGGATTGGGCCGAGGGCCTGCTTAATACTGTCGTACATTCCCTTTACATTGTCTGTGTCT